TACAATTTGAAATAGTGGAAAAGTGTTACAAGTGGATTTTTTCACGATATCTTCATTTTTATTATTCTGAAATGTGCCAATTTTATTCCTCTGCGACACCGTGTGTGCAATTTTATGATCTCTCGGTATCTAACTTCTATTTTTGTAAACAAATCGCCCCACAATGATTCCAATAGTCTTCCCTTTCCGTCAAGTAAACACTCATCAACCACCTGAACCACGCAGGAATCCTGTTATACGTACAGTATCCACGGTTAGCATTTCTCTGGCAAGGTCGACAATACGAGACACATCGACGCCGATATCTTGCAAGCAAATTTCGCAGATTCCAAAACCGCTTGCGTCAATGAGTAATCCGATAACATTGCATACATGAAACAGGGTCACGTGCATTGTGTCATGTGGGAAGGTTGTTTGACTTTTACGCTGATAAACCATACAACTGTATTAGATAAAAAATAATGGTTGGGTTATGCGGATAATAATTGTATAATAATCACATTTCATATCACATACAGTCGGTGGTCACGATCTTGGCAGACAGCCAAGCCAATCACGTCCACTCACTACCCTGATTAATGACAGGCTGCAGCAATTGTCACAACACATTTGACAAACGTCATTACATGTTCAGAGAGCTCTGAACCAAGTAGAACTATCACATATCTATTGGTAATAAAACAATTGTTGAGATTTTGCAAGTTGTATAGATTGTTATGTTTCATTTCTGTTTTGTCCAACAAAATTTACGAGATCTTTAAATGTGTCTAGTCATGGATCAAAATTGTATATTAAGTTCAAGAGTTTGTAAAATAGCACATATTACTCATATGCTTTACACTGGGTTATGATAACTTGTCGTCCCTATGAATTTGCAAATAGAAAACATATGATAACTCTCACAAGATGTGAATATAAATGCAGTACTTTGAGGAACTAGTTGAACAATGACGCGGTCATTTTAATCTTTAATTTTCACGTTGAATGTTCATTATGACTATGCGTATGTGACAGTGCCCTCACAGTCTAGAATCAGATTATTAACAGCCAATCAAATTGCTTCTTTCATCAACGTGCTTTGCAAAACTATCACAATCCTCGTGGCGGAGCTACTTCACAAGAAGTTCCACGTTGCTAAGTCGCGCATTACTCTACCACGTATTTCTATGGGCTGTTGTGGAACGCCGGTCGAACAACCGGTGAGAATATCTATATTCGAGAAAATAGCACAAACGCGCAGAGGTAATCTTGATACACTGTTCAGGGGACTCTCAGCAACCATCCAAAAGTACTGTTTTCTGAAAGTTTTCGGCCTTTGTTTTCACCGTGATGGTTGCCAGGCAGTGAAAATGCCCGGATGTCCCCTGAGAATAATTATAGCTGCACACAATGGACGCTGTGTTGGCTTGAATGTCGTAGAAATACAGCGACAATATCGAGAAAGTATGCAACTCACTGATATAAAGACCAAATCTATTCAAGCTATACTTAGTTCCGAGTCTGATATGTTCGTTGTTAGTCGCAGTGGAAATGGTAAATTATTATGTTATTATTGCGTTACCGGCCTTGCGACCATCTAGCTTGGTAATAGTGTTGTCACAACTGTTGAGTATTATGGAGGAGCAGGTGTTTTTGTGCCATTAGTGTCAATGAATGTCGCCAAAACGTAGACACTGAAAGCATAGCATATGCCTATTTAGCGACTTTGTTCATTAAAAATCACTTGTGAACGAAAAATATGGCCGCAGTTTTGTTCCAGCGAACATCAAAAGTAACGGTGAAAGATGACAGCGACGTAATTTGTAACCACAAGTAAAAGTATGATTAAACTTTGAAAAGTTTGAAATCTATGTTCATAAGTAATATTATGACTGTATGTCAACAGATGTTCAAGTGACCTTACTTATGTTGATGGGGGATTTCACACTCCTACAAGTGTTCTTATTTAGTATTTTATAAGAAAGTTATGTATATATTTCCGACATGTGATAATAGGATATTAAACACACTTTTTAAGGGCTTGCATGAGTACTAGTATTTGAACGAGTATTTATTCGAATCACAGCAGAAGCGGTGTAGAACTGTATAGAGTTGCCAGCACACTAAATCATGCTGCCCGATAGGTATAAACTACGGGAGCCATGCCAGGAATGAAACCACACTTAAACATCACGAGAAAAAACGGCCCACCCCATCCAGCCAAGAATCGCGCACCACTTAAAGTTTGAGATATATAAAGCGGTTACATCCATTGCAGAACTACCCCTTACTTTCGTGTAGACATTTCAGCTGACTGTGAGCATAACGTATTTCATCAGCAGGTCGTTTAAGTGAGTGGTAAAATGTATAGTTAACATTGGAACAGCGATATTTCTATATAGTGCATTTCATACATTTGACGTTGTTGTATTCGTGTTATTATCAAAATGACATATTTGGCCATTTCAGGTCAAAGTATCACGTGAACCCATCAATTGGGCAGTGACGTATTTGTCATGTTTAGGGTGTAACCTTAACGTATGTCTAACGCAATGAAATAAAATATGATATTCATAAAACGTTTTTATAACTAAGTTTGTATCCTTAATGTAGATGCAAACATATGTTGGAACTGTCTGGAACACCATTTATACCTCATTGTGTTTTTGCAATAACATTTTTATATTGTGTATATTTTTTCAAATTTTTTTTGTTCGATTTTTGGCTCCTGCTCATGTTTATTCTCTTGTCATGGCATTTATATAATCCGTGACACCTGGCGGCCATTCATTGTTCCTTGTGTGTATCAAATAAACAAGATAGAATTGTGGCAACACGTCATGTTTCATTTTTAAAATTTACACTTAGACTATGAAAAATATCGGTTTTATTCCATTTTAAATCACCCCCTACATCTGCCTTACATACTGTGGCCATTCATTATTTTATTCTCATTCTCACAGCCAAACTATCAAAATACGAGCTTAGTGTATTAAATTAGAGTGAGGGCGTACTACGACAAATTGAACATTGGAATATTGGAGTCAAATTTCATTATTTCATTTGGTCTTGACCTGTTTTCAAGATAAACAAAAAAACCTGTGAGATTTGATACAAGGCAGCATTGCCATAACCGGCCCTTTGACATGAAAACATTCTCATCAACATTGGGTGAACAGTTAGTAGAATGTCATTTAAGCCACACTTCTAATATTACGGCGTTTTCTATTGGCTAGAAGTTGAAATATGTCGACATGACACAGAACGAAACAGCACATAGAACAATACGAAGCTCGCTCGTAATAGTCACGGTGGTTGGGGTTGGTGTGTACAGTATGTCGGTTAATATCAAGGTGCAGGAAGAAATAATTGAATTAGAACTACAGGTTAGAGCTGGTAGACTAAAAATTTTAATGAATGACCGGTTTCAAGAACAACGAAACTGTACGATAAAGATCGCGATTAATATGGCAAGATGACACCGGGTGTTTTGACATTCCGAGCAACTCAGTGATAGTGTATATACAGTCCGTGGATTGACGCTGTTATCGACCACCTCAAGTCCACGGCGAGATACAGACACACAGCGTCAATAAAATGAATACAATGTCAAAACGAATAATACAGTCTCGCTGTTACAAATGTAGTCGGCATAGGGATTGGACAATCTATTGAAGGTCGTATCAAGACCAAATTGAAAAAAAATATGTAAACACAGTACCGCTGTATTCAGGAGAATTACTCCATTACGTCCACGAAATAAATTTGGAGGTGACGCATTTACTGGCAATAAACTGACAAGGTGACACGCCCTCTATCCCAATACCTATTTTGAAATGTTTTTGGTTGATTTCTAGCCCCACAATGTTTTGACTGCCACCGGATATGTCGGTCCCTTCGCGTATACGTTGAAACTAGGTTGGGTTATACCAATACACATTGAACATTGAAAGTTATATTGTGATATGTATATGGGGACGTTCGTAAATAAATAATAAATGGCCGTATTATGTACCGCAGCTAATGTAATTTTCTATAACGTATTTTGTATTCCAATTCGACAAATGCGCATATGAAAATATGGGTAAAATTCAATTTTCGTTGTCGTTTTCCATCTTGCTTGCATTTATGTAAGAACCGGTTTTCCATGACATGACTCATTTTGTTCAGTATAATATTCAAAACAACCTATAAACTATGGTCTTAGAATATACTCAATTCAATAACCCAACTAATAAAAAAGATATATCACTTTAAATGTAAATGTAAATGTACAATGGTCTTTGGGGCGTGTTCCCATAATAAGCTACAAATTTGATTTGCTAACACAAAAATACGTAATCTAAGATACAGAAAATGCACCCCAAATTGTACTGAAAAGCCCTTCTGATTCATGAACTATATATATATATATATATAGGTTGAATAATTCAATTGCCATCTCATCGTTTAATTATAAACTACTTAGAATTAGTGTTGTAGACATCACGTGTCACTTCAAGTGTGTAACACAACCATGGCCTACAGTGGTAATGATGTCTTATATGTTTACTATTATAGAACATCAATTCTTTCAATTGATTTCACTTCCTGTTCAGAGAAGCTCAAAGGAAACTACGCCCGTAGCGGAATGCGTTGTAAGGCTGTTCCGTGACCAATTATGGTATGCGCATTATGATTGGATGGAATTATGTCAGACATAATCTATCTAGATTTCACGTTATATTCTCTAACCTACTCTAATGATGATCAAACGTTATTTCCGGTTGCAGATGTGCTGGAGATGCACCTTCATACTGTAGTGTGTATGCGAAGAACCAATGTAAGTGGCGGTTTTTTGTATCCATCGATGCACAGACTTAGTTGCACACGCACGAAAGTAGTTGCTGTTCATATTTGGCACTAGACAATACCGTGTATGATACGGTATATACAGATACAGACAGTGTCGCGTTGGATTTACGTTCATACTGTGCCAGTACTGGTAGGAATCATCCTTTTTGTATTTCAACATTACCAGAATGCATAACATCACACGCCATATGAATGACAGCACGTCACTGATATTTGAAAATGCAACAGCTATTTTCCCATACATCTTCAGATCACCGCCATCATGGGTGTTTCACGATCTCATCCCTACTTTAGCGAGTGTACTGTGCGTGTGTGGCCTCTTAGGCAATGGAGTCGTCATTTTCGTTATGATACGATACCCAAGCATGATCAGCGTACCGAACACATATATACTTAACCTAGCCTCAGCGGATTTTCTTTATTTTCTCGGCGTGCCTTTCCTCACTTACTTCAATACAACTCGTCGATGGTCTTTCGGCGATTTCATGTGTAAATTTTCTATGGGTGTCGATGGAATGAACACGTTTACTGGAATATTCACTTTGACTGCAATGGCCATAGATCGTTATTTTGCCACCGTTCACGCGGTATTTTCTACAAGGTTTCGATGCGTATTGACGACAAGAGTTGTGTGCATGGTTCTGTGGTTGGTCTCTATTATCGTTACATTGCCATTGTGGAGATACGCTTCAACAGAGACTTACGACAATGTCACGGTTTGCAGCATCAACTGCCCTCTATATGTAGAACAGCTATTTGTTGTTTATTCCTTCTTAACTGCATTTGTAATACCACTAACTATCATCATCCTATGCTACCTTTCTATTTTAAATTTCCTCGCAAATCGAAGAAGAAATATGAGAACTCGAACATTTAATCTTGGTCGTATTTCCGTCATGGTATTAACAACTGTTATATTTTTCTTTGCATGTTGGTTGCCATTCTGGGCAATAAGAATTATACTCTATGTCTCGCCCTCCACACATTCCCTCGTTTTACAGATAATGTATTATTGTACTCCTTTACTTAGTTCTGTTAACAGCTGTTTCAATCCAGTTATCTATACATGGTTTAAAGACGATTTTCGCAATCAGATCAAACAATGTATGTGTAACATGCTGTGTAAACGCCAGAAGAAAATGCGCACTGAACATATGGGTGCAATGAATCAATCACGTCAACGCACAGTTCCATGTCATGTGACTGCTTCGAACACATCCACACGTACCCAACGGGATGTTACAAAATGCTGACTTTGAAATTATGAAAAATTTAATCCATCACAAGTGATATATATATATTGCCCGATTTGTATGTGTTATTTATTTATCCGTTTGTTTGCATTTTGTCAAATATTTTATTTATTAAAATCGTTGTCTGAAAAAAAAAGTTGAGAAAATATCGCAAACACGCAAATCATCTCATATTTGTTTGTGTCGTTAAATTTCCATGAAACAGAAATTCTCCATAATATATCACATGTGGTTATGTCTATCGCCAATGGTAGACAGTGCTAATACCAGGTATATCTTTTTTTGGAATAATATCAATTGGCATAATAATTATATGTTTTCGATTTAACGCAATATCGCGTTTGTTTACATTTCATTAAGAACAAAATTATTTATTTGTATGTATAATATATATATATATATATATATATATATTAAAAAACGCATACGTTGTATGCTGACAATTATTTGTTTCTGGCGTTTTTTTAATGACAAGAGCTATAAAAATATAATTCTTAAGATGCAATTTTGTTTTTTTCAATAATTCATTATTGGGTCAAGTCAAATACTCTGATGTGTGATACAAAAACAACTTTTTCAGTTCCTGATACAACAATAACATATCAAATAACAATTCTAAAAAGTGTTTGTTCTCCTCTATATTGCATCTCCACATTTTTGAACGCCATCATTTTCTAGCCAACATTCTGGTGTACATATGTGTTAAATTGTTTTTTTGCACCAAACTGACGCTAATAGAAATAAAACATAAAAAAAACATTCGAATACGTTCGAATAATAATAATGAAACATTTTCAAATAACAACGTTCGTGAGGACAATGACATATTCGTCTTAACTTGAGATTCAGAAAATAACAGAATCACAGACTACCTAGTTTTTCACATGTTATTACTGCATGGCAACGCAAAATGATTTTAATTTTTGACCATTATTAATTATCAAAACATTTACAGCAACCACCTGCCTTCCAACGTAATACATATTTTTGTAAATCGACGCACAGATCTCGCGACAAAGCCACACGACTTGTCCCCCTCCGTAATGACCCATTACTGTTAGTCTGACATAAGTGACCATAGTATTTATGCAATGAACGATTGACTGTTTGGGTGGAACAAAACAAGAAGCTTAGCTGGGTCGCTTTCAATGGTATCGCAAATAACTACAATTCCTAGCTTGTTTGGTATGCAAGGGCATTGAGTACACATACAATATAATTAACTGCAAGCACACGTTTCCAAATTCAAATATTTTATTTGTCACTGAACCACAACATTAGTGCAAATTATTACTGAATTGACTGTGTATTGGGATACGTATACCCCCATCATTTCGTGGGTTGAAATAATTTGTTATTTGACATGTTAGTTATTTCTACTTTCTGAAAGACATAACTACTATAATATATAAAAAGATCAGGTGAATATCTGTGAATATCTATAAGTGTTGATATTGATCAGCGCAGCACAGATCTCCGACTTTTTTTCAAAGTGTGTTGTTAATGATTGAACCGTTACTCCAGCTCGGTTATAAATTCTGTACATATATCTCGTTCCACGCTATGTTGAAGACACGTGCGTTATTTGCCGTGAATGAATCTGGCATAATTGTATTTTGTTTTCCCAAATGTCTCCATGCTGACCTCGTGACATATGTGTGCCTTTCGGGGAGATGTGTCTCCTTATTCAAATAGCTTCAACTTTCTGGTTGAGCGTCCATTGCTTTTATTTGAATTTTAGAGTGATGAGTTACGCCTGTGCATAATATATAGGTCATTCTCATAGAAGGTACTCAATTATGTCACTACGTAATGTAAGAATTTGATCTCTTGGAAGTATTGGCGACCCGCTCCTCAAGGGTAACTTTGTGTGTGTGTGTCTGTGTGTGTGACTGTCCGTGTTTCTACGTAATAATTCCTTTTAAATGTCTTTTTTTTGGCTTGGCCAATTGGCAAGCATGTCACACCTTCACTCTAGTGAGGGGGTGAAAATCTGAAGAAAAAATCCTGGCACGCCATTGCCATGGCAACAACCAAAACACTGATTTGTGAATACTTTCGCTCCATCTTTCGCTTTATCCCCTACCAGTCTTGTAATAGCTATGTTTAAATGGCCATTCCTTTTATTTTGGATAATTTGCGCACCGACGAGAGATCAAAGGCGCCAGCATTGTTACACTGTATCAATGCAAAGTCCCAACGCAACTTTGAATGAACTGTAAATGCTGCGTTCAATCAAAGAATCTAAAACATACAATCGCAAAACGGTCGGAAATAACAATTATTGCAGCAAAATACACGCTAGTAATAAAGTGAAGTGACTTCTGTAGACTGAATTCTCTAAGAAAACTTCGTATACAGGGCCCCGGTTTTAGTTATAAACAGCCGAAACAAATGTTGTTTCTTTGAGCGGTGCGGATTGCCAACCAGTCTACATTTTATTCTCTCACACATATATGTCGCTGACTTTCCAACATAATTCTTATTTTTCGTCGTTGTCGATGTTCACCATGTGAGATGTGATTAAAAGTTGCTATTGTACCTATTCTTCATATGAAATACCATGAAAATGTCCTTGTTATACCTTGAAGGGGGAAATAGGTACAGTCTTCAAACTTGGCACAAATACTTTATGTGTCACCCACATAACACAGTGTCTTTTTAGAAACAAAAGGTAAAACAGTATAGTATGTGTTTTGAACTATACAACAACATAGAAAAAATAGCCAGTGCTATTAAAATAGGCTCACATTCACAAGGCCTTGTCATATTTGGGAATCAAAGGTCATAACTACAGATAGAAATAGCCAGGGCGTACATACTTGCAAACGTGAACGTGTTTTTCCACGCAATTCAAAAGATCACAAGGATCACGGTCACAGTATTGATTTATTTGTATTCGTTATTGAGCGACAACGGGAATAAATTGGAACTTCAAACTTGGTATACATGTTTTCCATTTAACCCATAGAACACGATAACTTTCTGGCATATAAAGTCAATGTTTATGTGCATTCGTACTTTGGGAAAATAGCCACTGTCATCAAAATTAATACGCATATTTCCTGGGTCAAAATCACAGTATGAGTTTATGTATGTATGTTTGTTTGTTATATATGTACGTTCCGCATTACCATTGCTCTAAAATATGACAGAGCAGAGCTGCTCAAATAGGTCATTGTCCGTCGTCTATCATCTGTCCGACATCCATCAATAATTATATTTTCGACTTCGTCGTCATACTACCATGCCAATTACTTGGATACTTTCACAATTTTTAGCACATCTTTTTGTAATTTGTGGTAACAGATGTATTTTTTACTTCTCCTTTACTTCTATTTTGTAAAGCCCATATTTGTATCATTTTTGGTTAAAAATGATTTTTGACTTCTTGAAAAATATCAGCTATATTATTTTGATACTTGATATTTCATAGACCAGGATAATACACAATGTCAATTACCATACTACCACCCCTAGTTCATAATTGTAAAATGTCAAGAATATTGTAGGAATAATAACCGATGTAAATATATAATCTCATCGTTTAGCACATGATCAACTTTGTTTTGAAGAAAGACACTCTGTAAAGACAGCAGAGCTTTTTCATCCGTGAGGTCGCTTATTTTTTTAAACTTGACATACATGTTTCTTTTATGACCCAATAACAAAATGCCAAGGTAACATTATAAGTGCTAATTGGTATATTTAAGAGATCTAGCACAGGTTGCCATCTCTTCTGAGTTGGATGTGCTATCTAGTTAGTGCGTGCTATATTTGTGAAACTATAAAATCAAGGATTCTAACAAACATGCACGTTTATGTCCAATAATATTACATTTTTAAACAAAGCCAAACGATCTATTATACTGACTGCTGTAGTTGGTTCTAACGTTGGTTTTCACATTTCCACATTATAAGTTTATAAGTATCAACATCACGCCATTTTTTATCTTGGCCTTAGTTAACATCATTTGCAGTATCGACGTTTAGTGGGAAATGCCAGAAAATCAAGTTGTATGAATTCAAAACAAAGCAGAATCTAAAGGAAAACAAACACATGTTTGAATAATTCAATTCAGTTTTGTTTAGTGGAATGAAAGTTGTTATTTTCAACCTGACTTAATCTATAATAAAACAAAATTGAAGACTGTTCTATATAATTGTTATTGTTGGCAACAATGTTAGAGTTCCAAGTGATATAATTCGGTTGCTACTATGTGACACAATACTATATTCCCGATTTTTCTCTCAACTATATAATAAACACTATAATGTTCGTATATACATGTAATTAATATACAAAAGCTTATGAATATTCATCTGACGTATGACCTTGTATTTTTTGATAATCGATCTCTATTGCAAAATACATTCATGTTTCAAAATGAATATTTAATGAATAGTCGAATTAATAAGATATTAATATTTATATTTTATGTTATATTCCACTCAATGAGCTTGGATTTTTTCATGAGCCATAACACCACGTGACTATTTATCGGGCTGCTCCAAATTCATCAGTTTAGGGAGAGCCCGGATTGGACAGCGCGTTGAAGCATCTGCTTACAATAGTGAGGCGAGTTACGAGTTAGACTTTTGTGTTTCATCATTATATGTTCGAATATATATATATGAGTTCTATTCATAACATGTTGATATGGAAAACGGACATTTGTGCGCGTGTTCTAGTTGTCAATATTTTGCCAGCCTGACCGCTTAATTTAAATTCGACTGGGTTTACTGATAAAACGATTCGACTCAAATTGGTTTGTTTTAAACATCCATTTCTGGTACTAAGAAGGGTAGATTACTACTTCTGTATATAAAGATGAAACTGATTTACTAAGTATGATAAAAGAGGACTTGGTGAATCATGCGGCAAGGGTCGTCGAATACCTTTGTCGCAGACATACTCTGATTGCAAGCTTAGTAAGAAGACAGACAGCAGATTGTCCATCATTTCATGCAGCTCATCAGAGAAATAGCCGCAGTGGATC